TCTAAATTTTTTATATAACCGATCACTTTCGGCTATTCTTGTAATAATTTTCAAGAACGTTTTTATTATCATTATTTTTAACTGAATATGTAGCTCTTTTATATATGTGAGTTTATAGTTGCGAGAATGTTCATAGTTGATAGTGTTGGCTTTTTCATTTTATTATTAATGCTTACATTAATTTTAGCATTTTTACATATGGATGAGGCATTATTATACGTATATGTTGCAATCTGAGTTTGGTAGCTTACCATATGTGCATATATATAATAAAAATAATTTTAATGTATGCTATAGTTGTGCTGGGTATCTGGGATATAGTGTATGTTAATATAAAAAATTCAGTTATATTTATAATTATTTTCTATTTTACAATCCATTTTCCTCCAGATGAATCATCGCAAGCCGCGCTCTGCTCTATTGCTATTTCTCTTGGAATGTCTTCGGACAAACTACATTCCTTAGTACCACCAGTTCTAACATTTACGGATATGATCCGTCATGCCACGCCCATTGTAACAAACCACCCTCCTCCCTTTTATATTCCATCGGTGAGTAGCACCTCTACCTTATGGAACTGACCCCCAAGATGATGCTATCGCGGTCAATACGTTCTTAATCTGATCAAGTCAAGTTATATTCCCTACATAAACTCTGCCGCTTAATAAGTAACCCTCTACCTTAAGGTGCTCTTGGGCCTTGTACCGAGTAAACGCCATTAAAAAACAAGAAAAAAGAAACATAGACATTAAGAAGACAATTGGAAAATAAACTAATTGATAAGTATACAAGGATTTTAGGTGTTATATTAATCTATCCTTGAAGCAGTACCGTAGAAAAAAAAAAGCAGCTCCATAGTCACCTAGCTCCCATCCTATCTCAAATGTCGGGCCTAAAGGACAAGATATGCGAGGCTTGGTTTGTTTTACGGCATGTCGATCTCAACGGGTTATTTAATGCTCACAATATATTTATTGATGACAATGATTTTTCATAGACTTTTTGACACCAATAATAGTGGACTTGGGAACTCCAGCAATTAAAAGATGGTTCCACCCTTCTCAAAACCTCCTGATCAAAAGACTTGCTGCCAGATGTTGTTTATCGTCATAGACAGGACGCTTTATTGGGGTGGGGTGGGGAGGGGTTGCAACCTCACTGCAGAGGTGCAGTCGACGTATTCTGAAGCTCCAGCCGACAGGGCGAGATAGGCGAGGTATTCCTGGCGACGTAAAGATGAGCTTATATAAGAAGGCGTGATGTCATGGACTCTAAAGCACGGACACACTAGTATTAGTCGACCCTTCATCGGTATACGGATGTGATGCCGAACAACTAACAGGTGGAGTTAGATACTTATGACTGGAGAGAAAATTATCGTGAGAATCCTTGCAATCGGTGCACCCGGGTGATGATGCTAATGATACTACGACGACAACGATGATGATGATGATTAGGAGGATGATGACGATGATGGCGATTACGATTTTTCTTGTTATGACGATAAACTACATCCGGCAGCAAGGCCGCCGATTAGCTGATTGGAGGTTTTAAGGTTGCTGTTGTACCCAGGTCCACCCTGACCCGAGGTAGTGGCACCTCTTACGGTCCTAGCTAGGTAAATGGTGAACGCCCAAACGAAACAAAACTATGAAAGTGTAAAAATGACTATATACAGTAGAATTATCAATGATACGTAGTTATAATAAAATATCTACCAATACATTTTATCTGTAATTGCAGGCATTCAAAATATTTAGTTGAAGTCATAAAAGTGTCTTCAAAATATTTAGATCTATATGACAGAGACAGATTGATAATAAACAATGTAACATAGATCAGTAGATAGATAATGAATGGTGACATACATAGATAGATAGATAGATAGATAGATAGATAGATAGATAGTATTTATCAATCCACCCACGGGGATCCAATGTGGCACAAGGCCTTTTTAATGTGGGTATCTCTGAGCCCGTAGGCCCAGCCAAAAATAAATAACCACCCAAACCCGCCGAGGCGGGCCAGTTCCGTCAACTTCCCCCAACGAAACCCTACCCTTCGGCGGAGCTTCGTCCGGGTTCCTCTCTGCAAGCAGAGAGTTCGACAGACATCCGACCCAGCAGCTCACAAAGCGCAGATACTACACTTTGATCCTAGCCACCGGGCCGAGCGGGTATTAGATAGATAGATATGAACAAAGATGGATAAGATCAGAAATAGATATACTAATATGAACATAGATAGATAGATAGATAGATAGATAGATAGATAGATAGATAGATAGATAGATAGATAATAAACAGTGTGACATTGATAGATAAGCAAATATATATATATATATATATATATATATATATATATATATATATGAATGTGGGACATAGATATGATTAGATTGAGATAGATAGATATGATTAGATTAGATTGGGATAGATAGATAGATAGATAGTTATGATTAGATTGGGATAGATAGATAGATAGATAGATATGATTAGATTTAGATAGATAGATAGATAGATAGATAGATAGATAGATAATGAATAGAGTGACAGAGATAATAGGGTGATAGATGTATGTTACTATTATCACTTTACCAATAATGTTTTTTCATATACAGGATGCGTTGAATAAATTGTCGTCTAAGTTTCGGATAAATGAAAATAACACTGACATCTCATTTTAATAGATATATTTACCCAAATTGCACAAAACTATCTTGAAATACTAAAGAGGAAATGACATTTCTGTTGGTCTCTCGCTCAACTGTGCCCCACACATAATAATGAAGGGAGTTGAAGACTCGTGAGTTAGGTGGCCATATAAAAGTGAGGATGGGGTCGCAGAAATTGTCTCACAGCCATAACTGGGTTCTCCTACTTGTGTGTCATCTTGCAGAGTCCTGTTGCCAGACATAGCGCCTTTCCAGAAGCCACGCTCTTGATCCAGGAGAGCACTACGTTTCTCGAGGAACTTGATGTAGGCCTCCGTGCTGAATCTGAGGTCCTCACCAAAAAATTCGGGAGTTGTTTTCTTATCAGAACGATCAGAGTGAGTTTTCCGAGCTTTCTTTATCTTCGTAATCACCATTAGACTCATCTAACTCCTTCCAGTTCCTCCGCACTGTCCTCAGATTGACACCCAAAGACTCTGAACTGTTCGTGTTGGAGCTTCCGGTGCGAATGCCAAGTAGTACAGCATACCGTTTCCAAATTTCTGGCGGAGCGAATTGCGTCATGGTGCTCTTTTTTTTACCAAAATGGTGCACAATTGACCTTACTATGCTGTGCAGTCGACCAAATAAAAATCAAACAATGCGCATGCGCGAAATAAAAAAAATGACGACAATTTACCCATCGCATTGATTATTTCCGGTTCTTTCACAAAGTATTTGTATCTGTTCCTGTATTCTCGCTGGTGTCCTTATATTTTTTAATCGTGAATCATTTTAACTTCTGTTTGACTCTACAAGTTACCAATCTAATCACAGGTTATATCAAGTTTCTTTTTCTTATATATTTAACTGTTGTGAATAGGTTAGTGATTCTCGGGCCAGTTTCAGTTTTTGTTTTCGCCTTTCTACACAGTTGACGAAACTTGGACTCTTTCACTTTTATCTGTTAGTAAGGTTTCATCGGCAAATATTCGACACTAGTAGACCATTTTTATGTTTTTCTTTTTATGTATGCTTTTTTTTTAATTTTAGGTTTTAATTTAGGTATAATTTGCATTTTTTTTAATACAGCCATGTGCAAATTAAATTTGTCATTATTACTCACTCATTTATTAGAACTTTTCTTCCATCGTAGTTTTTACAGTCACAACATTTTGATCATTACTAAACTTTTGCTTTCTTGAGATTATAGTCATATTTGGTGACATTCTTGAAATTTTGATACGAATCCCCAATTTGATCCGTAGATCGATTCTTTTTATTCCGCTCTTCTAGAAATTATTTGTTGATTCATCTGAGAAATTTCTACATTTTCGAAAGGTTCTAATGAACCAGATTACACCCTTGTACAAATTAATTGAAACAAACGCTTAAGTTTCCTTTCTTTCAACATACAGACAGATTTAGACCCACTGGAGTGACACTGATTTCTATTTTCTTCCTCTATTTTACCAATCTAATCACAGGCTATATCAAGTTTCATTTTGACGGTTATATATTTAATTGTTGTGAATATGTTTGTGATTCTCAGTTTCTGTTTTTGTTTCCGTCTTTGTATTCATAATTTTCAGTTTGTGTCTCCAGACGAGTTAAGAAAGATTTGTTCGCTTTCATATTTTCCGAGATTATTAATCTCTTCCCGTCTTTACATTTGCATTGAAGTTGTCAATGGAATTACAGATTGAGAATTAGCGGGGTTTTAGTAGTCGCACGGTTGTGTCTTTTGCAATACGATGAGATAGATAGATAGATAGATAGATAGATAGATAGATAGATAGATAGATAGATATGAAAATCCTGAGATATATAGATAAGTAGATAGATATGAAAATAGATAGATAGATAATGAACAGACTGAGATAGATGATGAAAATACTGAGATAGATATATAGATACATAGATAGATAGATATGAACAAACATAAATAGATATGGTCAGATATAGATAGAAAGATAGATAATGAACAGACCGAGATAGATACATATGAACAGATTGAGATAGATACGTACATAGATATGAAAATACTTAGATAGATAAATAGATAGATAGATAGATAGATAGATAGATAGATAGATAGATAGATAGATATGAAAATAGATAGATAGATAAATAGATAGATAGGAAGTAACATAGATATGATCAGATATAGATAGAAAGATAGATAATGAACAGACCGAGATAGATAGATAGATAGATAGATAGATAGATAGATAGATAGATAGATAGATAGATAGATATGTGCAGGCTTTGATAGAAAAATATTTTTTAATCATAACAAGGATTTAAAATCAGTCATCATTTTTTTAAATTGTGACACGCAACTAGGTCTAGTATATATATACACACACACACACACACACACACACACACATATATATATATATATATATATATATATATATATATATATATATATATATATATATATATATACGCATTCTTTATTTCCAGGTAAACTGGTATCTGACTATTCACAGAGGACTGCAAATGTAACTAGGAACGAGTTCACTTGAAGAAAAGTGCGCATTGCGGTATTATCGTATACCTGCGGAAAATTAGTTTAGGCCCCCAAGACATTCATGCTAATATGGTTGCTACATTAGGGGATAACGATCCAGATTTATCAACTGTGCATAAATTCGCTGATGAATTTAGCAGGAGAAGGAAAAGTCTTGAAGTTGACCCATGGTCTATACGTCCTGTAACTCCCACCGTCGACGAAAACATTGGTCATGTTCACGACACGGTGACGGATGGCAGGCGATTGACTATAAATCAAATACACAATTCTAGTGAAGATATTCTGCACGATTAACATGGCTTAATGAAGGCTTCTGATTCAGTAGGTTCTATATCTTATAGCACATGATCAAAAGCGAATATGCTGATCACATCACGGGAAAAATGTGACATCGTTTAAGGGCGATAGAGATGGTCTATGTTAAGGTTACCTAACCCAGGATGAGTATTGAGCCAGATACAAGCCATGAGGCTGACATCGTTTCATCTGCGAGGAAAGAGATGACCCCGGTTTATTGGAATGCAATTCTACGCGCGAATCAACGCTCCTCGTACCTGCAGTCTGTTCTATGCGTGTGGCTGTCGTCTACGCGGACGGCGGTAAGCCATAAAACTGAACGATACATGAGCCGATTTTCTATTTTATGTAAAAAAATTCAAAAAATAAAATTCGAAAATGAAATTAAACGTATCGATTTTTTTTAATATCATTTCTGTAGAATAACAATACAATAAACAGCACTTACCGGCGTAAGGGTCCCAGCTAGCGTCCAGCTGACAGACAAAAATGAAGCAGGTTGTAACTCATTACAAACCCTGCAAACTAACTGATGAATCAAGCTTGTATTCATACAGAAATACCTCCACTCATGTGCCAGCAGCCAATCACAGCCCAAGCAATGGACTATCCCACTTTAGCACAATGAGATGCTCCATGGCACCATAAATAGCTCTCTTTCTCAAGGTGGAGTTATTATTCACTCAGCTTGCTCCACAATTGACTACGGGATTGCTCTACAATTTCTAATGTTTTAAGTAGTTTGTATAATCGCTAGTATGAAATTATAGAAAAAAAAAACCCACAAGTTCCGACATGAAATGGATTCAAAGAAGAATATCGTAGGAAGTCCGAGGTTGGTCGGTCAGCGTCACAAGCCGCCAAATTTTACCACCGCAAAATGTACCATATGCAAAAGGCATTGTGCTTATCTTCAAAAGGACAACACCATCAATGTAAAGTATTATTACAACTTACTGAAGCAGTTACAAAAGGCTATCAAATGCAAACGCCCCAAAAAATCTGACGGGGGATGTGTCTTGCTTCATCAGGTCAGTGCTCCAGCACACAAGGTCTTCAATTGTTGTTTTGTGTAACTGAGGTTTTGAGTGAGTTTATTACATTTCCTCTTCTCCTGCTTTGAGGATCATCTGTTCCTCAGAATAAAAAAAAAAAAACAAACATTTCGCTGGGAACCATTATCGCAGTGATGATGGCGTTGTATCTGATGTTGATGACTTTCTTGAGAAACGGTGCGAAAATATTTCATATTTCAGTTTACTTGGGAAAAAAGAAATGCAGTTATTATTAAGAAGAGTTGAAACTAATGCAGGCAAGATTTAACAACGCTGACATTCCTCCATGACAGTCAGCCTATTAACTTTTCAATTCACCGTGCAAAGGAAGAAAAAGAAACAACACACATATATATATATATATATATATATATATATATATATATATATATATATATATATATATATATATAGGGAAAGAGGGGGAGATGGAGATGGAGCGAGATATACATAGACAGATATTAATAGACTCAAAAAATAAGGAAAGAAACAAGACAAACACACACACACACACACACACACACACACATATATATATATATATATATATATATATATATATATACAGGGAGGAGGGAGAGATAGATAGATAGATAGATAGATAGATAGATAGATAGATAGATGAATAGACTCAAAAAAGTAATGAAAGAAACGAGACACACACACACACACACACACACATATATATATATATATATATATAGAAAGAGATAGATAGATAGATAGATAGATAGATAGATAGATAGATAGATAGATAGATATGAATAGACTCAAAAATAAGGAAAGAAAGAAAGGCGACATATATATATATATAGAGAGAGAGATAGATAGATAGATAGATAGATAGATAGATAGATAGATAGATAGATAGATATGAATGGACTCAAATATAAGGAAAGAAAGAAACGTGACACACATATATATATATATATATAGATAGATAGATAGATAGATAGATAGATAGATAGATAGATATGATCAGATATAGATAGAAAGATAGATAATGAGCAGACCGAGATAGATAGATAGATAGATAGATATGAATAGACTCAAATATAAGGAAAGAAAGAAACGCGACATATAGATAGATAGATAGATAGATAGATAGATAGATAGATATGAACCAATTCGAAAAGACAAAATGATAGAATCTATACTTAGATAAAATGAAGGAAATATGAAAACGCTGAGAACGTTATATTAAATGAAGTGGTCCTGTTGAATAAAAAAAAAGTATTTCTTGGCATGTTTTCTATAATGAAAACTTCAGACAATCGTCAGTCCATTCGTTTAATTCTTCCCTTCTTATAGATCGATAGATGAAGCTACCAAGTAATTTGAACAAGCAAACTACTCCATCCATTTTCAGCCATGTTCGTACGTACAGAAACCACGTGAGCGACATTCTAATATGGAGACAGCTTGTTTCATTAAAATGAAAACCCACAAGTTTGATTTTCTCTCCCATGAACGCAATTCCTTCTTTCATTCCGTTTTATTCTAGTCTCTCCGGCACCCTATGCAGTAAGAGATAAAGTTACAATGTTCGTCACCGGGAAACACAAGTCATACACGATATTTCCGTGAAACCGATATTGATTTTTAATAACACCCATTCGAGATGACGCAAAACCGTAATATATATCGAAATATATCGAAATATATCGAAAGAATAAAAAATGAAATTTTTTTCACAGATTTTATAAGTCACAATATACCTATGACAATACACAAGAATCTTACTCACGCAAATTTTCCATCAATGTAAATTAATGGATATATATATATATATATATATATATATATATATATATATATATATATATATATATATATGTACGTATGTATGTATGTATAAATGTGTATTTGGGCAGCAATCCCCATTTTATATAAGTTTCATTAAAAATTAGAAAAAATGTGTTGCAGTTACTATATATATATATATATATATATATATATATATATATATATATATATATATATATTTCGTGTGTGTGTGTGTGTTCTTATTATTTTTTTTTTTGGAGCGTATATTATGTAGATATTGTCCAAATGTTTTGCATGCCCGAGCGCTTTCGTCTATACTTTTAGCCATTATCAAGGATGATTTCATTTTTACTTTTAACTGAGGGTATGGTTTGTTTCATGTATTTGTCTAGATTTATAGGAATGTTTTATTTTCCAAACACGGTCAGCACATTGTTGCTGTGTTCATAGTTGATATTGAGTTTTGGCATTTTCTTTTTTATTAATAATGCTTCCTTTATTTTTCGTTTTATTTGATTTGTTTTTTTGTTTTTGTTTTTTGTTTTTGTTGCATGTAGATGAGGCTATTAAAGTTGTATTTTCAACTTTTATCAAGGGACAGAAAAAACAAAGGTCTCCAAGTGTATTTAAATGAAACCCAATTGAGCTATGGTCAGAGAGATGTAATGTGAGTATACATGTTAGGCATATTGCAATATATCCAGTATAATTATATATCAATTTTCACATTTCCTTAAGGGACATCAAAATTCTGCATAATTTACGTACAGAAAAGAAGAAAATTCTACTACACAAGAAAAATTAAATAAAAACTCTTATGAGCAATACATGTTTTTTAATGGAACTTAGATAAATATATATATATATATAAGTTCCAGAAAATAAATATATATATATATAATATATATATATATATATATATATATATATATATATATATATATATATATTCTAAGAATAAAGGGTGGAGAAGAATCGGATTCATATCTTTAGCATAAAAGTGAAATGTAATGGAATCGACGAGAATTCAAAAAGATTTGATTCCTAAAATCCGAGTCAGACTGGGATGGTAAATTGATTTGGAGAAGGAATAGAAAAATTCAAAACAAGTGTAGGGTTGTTTGGGGACCTTGTGGTACACGGTGTATTATGTCTTTGTATTCGGCACTTCAAAAAGTGTATTTGGTTCTGAAAAAAGCCTTCACCACTTAAAAGACAAAATCATACGTGCAGGTTGTCTGGCAGTCGGTTCCTATAAACTAAAAAAATAAATGACCTCAAACGTCGTAAAAAAGAGTCCCTGGTAGAAGTGGGTCACAAAGCGATGAGAGAGTTCAATTTTTTAATATATATATATATATATATATATATATATATATATATATATATATATATATATATTAGATCACAGTTCGAAGTTATTGAAACCGAGCTGCCAGTTCAGGACACATATACTATAACACACACATGTTATAGATAAACACACACACAAACACACACATACACACACTTGTTAGGAACTGATGACATTGCGGGATTAATCGATGAAGATCAGAAAAAGCAAAGGCTTGAATGTATATATGTCTGTATTTGGGGGTGTATTCTACGATATAATCTGTAGAGAAAACATTATGAATAGAAGCAAAAAGACGAGGAAAAACGTATTTAATACAGCTTTCCTCATGCCTTTTTTTCTATCTCTAATCTCTCTCTCTCTCTCTATATATATATATATATATATATATATATATATATTCAACTTATATATATATATATATATATTCAACTTATATATATATGTATATATATGATACTAAATATATATATATATATATATAAGTATGCATGTATATATATTATGCTGAAATATATATATATATGTATGCATCGGGTATATATATATATGTGTGTGTGTGTATATATATATATTCAACTTATATATATATATATATATATATATTCAACTTATATATATATATGTATATATACAAATAATATATATATATATATATATATATATAAATATGCATATATATATATATATATGCTAATATATATATATTTATAAATGTATATATATGTGTGTGTGTAAGAGAAATGTGAATATATATATATATATATATATATATTTAATTACATATATATATATTTATATATATATATATATATATATATATATATATATATATATATATATATATGTATGTTTATATATTAAAACCATATATATTAAATTATAATATATATAAATGAGAAGATATATAGTTGTTATAGACAATATAGTAAATGACGAAATATATATAATTAGCCGTATATGACAAAGTATTTTCGACTGCATACCCTGAGGAGTGAGGAATGGGCAATAATCGAATAAAAAATTACATGTAGAGGATTTAACTTTAAAAATTAGGAGAATAGTTGATTTCGCTACTTTGGTTTCAATCATAGGTCTTCATTCATGCTAGCAAGCCAAAGAAGCTTTACCAAAATACGTACCCATCTGTGAAATTTAAAAGAAGAAACCAGTGGGGTCCGATTGTAAAATGGATTTTTCCAAAAAAGCGAAAGATGGGCAACAACAACAATAACACAAAAACCTTTGCCAAAATAAAAAATTAGCTATAATGAAATTTTGGGATTTTAAAATTTTACAATGAAGTGAGATCAGATGTCAGGGAGCCGTTGAATAATATATATAAAATATGTTAAGTTCATATGAGTCTGGTTAACAAAAAAAGTATGTATATTTCAATTAAAAAAGAAATGAATTTATAATACCGTTGCTTTTCTTCATTCTTCTTCTTCTTCTTATCTTATATTTCTTCTTCTTCTTCTTCTTATTTGTCATCCTCCTCCTCCGTTTTTATCCACCCAAAAGCGTCAATTCATGACAATCGCCTTCGGATACCCTATGGTTGAAAAGAAATTTATGAAATCTTTTCCTAATGTTTCTAGTTCAAGCATAGTGCAATATGACAACAGTACGCAAGCATAGTTTTGGTTACATCGCATCATTCATTACGATTTTCTGCATCCCAAAACTTGATGATAATAGCACCATACTTTATTCACATTAAGAAAACCACTTTTAGTGTACCGACAAATTATAACTTTTGTGGTAATAAGTAATATTCTTGCGTATATAAGTCGAGTCAAGTATTTTTCAACACACCATCATATCTATCTATCTATCTATCTATCTATCTATCTTTTTTCTCTCTCTAATTATTTCAGTTGATTATTTTTACTTGTTTTTTATGTATTTTATTTTTTCGTCTATTCTAACGGAATTGCTTTGTTAATTTGTAGATATATATATATATATATATATATATATCTGTGTGTGTAAGTCGCCAAATACATGCAGACATATAGATACATCTGAACGTATAAAATAAAATTTATAGTACTGAAAAATACTGACGAGTTAAAAATCTAATTATATGATTACCATATATATATATATATATATTAAAGACATTTTTTATGTTTAACATTCATTTTATAGATACAAGTATTTTAGTAAATGCTCTGTTTATAATAAACAGTATTAAATAACATTTACCGGCCTGAATCTCCGGGAAATTTTAATAGAAAATATTCGTCCTTTGACAGGATTCAAAACCAAATCCTATACGTAACCGTCATTTAACTTGACGCCTAATGCTCGACCACAATTTATAAGCAGTAAAAATGATGATTGCTAATCCATTTGTGGCCTGAGCTTTATTTTAGGCACGTCAAGTTAAAATGAAAAATCTGTATAGGATAAAGGTTCGAATGAATTCAAAGAACGAATATTTTCTTTTGAAAATTTTTCGACATTCAGGCCGGTAAATGTTATTTAATACCTGTTTATTATAAACAGAAATTTTCTTAAATATTTGTATCTAAAAAAAGAATGTTAAACATAAAAGAATCTTTTCTGTACATTGTCGGACTTTGTTAAAATTTAATATATATCAATATAATACTTTTTTTATTTTAGGATATTAGAACAAAAACATGTTAAAAATCGCCACACACTTGCAGATATGTATCTACAAATGTGTCTGCTCTACCGATGGTAAACTACTGGCGAGTTAAAGATGATTTTAATTTCAAAACAGAATACTTCCTATTTTTCTCGAGAGAAAGAAAACAGTATTAAAATTAGTCTTGTTGGCCTTACTGTGATTAACCAATCAAATGTAACCTCCACTAAATTCAAACTTACGGAAATTTCTTTTTTATTATATAGCTCGTGAAACGAAGTTGTCTGCATATATGTCTCCTAGACAATTTAAATATGGAGAGATACAAATGGTTACATTATTTTGTAAGATATATAGGGGTCTGGCGTTCAACTTTCCTAAGAAGTAAAAGCGAAATTAGTAAGGGGTTAATTTAACATGATGCTAACTAGTTAAATGCTAGGTCAGCTTCCTATATAGAATTTTGTAGTTGATAAATAAAAGTTCCTTTTAAGAAACTTGTACAAAACCGGTTGAAAAAACAACAGATCATAAATACAAACCTAGCAAATTAATATGCAACCGTTAAGTAAAGAGCATCCATATAAGATGTTAATAATACTAACTAATCAATTCAAGATATTAATATTACTAACTAAACACATTTATATCCATATAAGATGTT